AGATAGATAGATAGATAGATAGATAGATAGATAGATAGATAGATAGATTATATTGTATTGTATTGTATTGTATGATATTATATGATATTACATTACATTACATTATATTGTATTATATTATATTATATTTTGAATGTCTGATGAAACTCATGGACGAAAGTCGACGCTGCAGTTCCAAAGACTAACCACTAGAGGGTAGAAGACACACATGAGTGTGCTGGTTTTTGGCTCATTTGTGGCAGTGAAGCTTTATCTGATCAAATCAATTCCGTTTTTTACAAACCAAGAAAAGCAATGCTCAAAATAAAAGCATGAATACCCTTCGTCTTCACTGACACCACTTCACAAGCCATAATTCTGCAAACTGCTTGATGTAGATTTTCACACCTCATTATCTTCAATCTAGATCATTAATTATAAACGATTTTATGTCAAGTTTTGCTCCACTGTGTGGTCCATCACAGAATAATATTTTTTTATCAGAATCCTCTTCAACTTAAAGCTCTTTATATACAGACACTGGAATATTGGCACTTTAATTTGGTACACTTTATTCTAGACTATTTTAAACAGTTTTATTCTCTTTGTGCTGCACACCAACAGATGCAAACACTTGTTGCAAATAAGCCACAACTGTGCCAAGAAAGAGGAAGTACGTCTTGAGGTCTCCAGAGGTGTGTGAGTTTTTGAATGTTTTTATTTGAGTTTTTATTAAGCTGCAGCTTTGCATTGTAGGAGGGTATCGGTAAGGTTTGACTGTTTATTTACAGTGAGACTTAACCCACTGTGCTATGTGGTGACGAGGACTAACCCCGAGTGACTTCTGCTTGCAGTGCGGTGATGAGCAGGAGCCATGGCGTGCAGTGGGAGCTACAGTGTCAACGTCTGCAATTCTGACCATGAGTACGTTTCCATCTATTTCCTAGTCGAGTAATATAGATAGGCAAAGGCCTATGTGTTTCTGTGTCTGTCTGTTAGCGAAATAGTTCATGAACCACAGGACAAATTGGGACAAAACTTTCAGGAAGCTATTACAACTGATTAACTTTTGGAGTCAACCTTGATTTTTGATGATTATACAGCCAATCTACCAGTCAGTTTGACAAATATTGAACTGAAATGTGATGTAGTCGTTAATAATGCATACTCTGAGAGGGATATCTTACAGTGTTGCACATTATTTTCAAGGTTTGACCAAAACGCGTCTTGTCATTGCAACACAAAATGATTTTAGTTGAAAACTTTTGGCATAAGAATATGTGGTGAAAGTGCATGACTTCAACCACTGTTAGACTTTAAATGTCATATTTTAAGTAACTCCACATGCAATAAATCCACACGCTCACTTTGGAAATATTTGTCACAATCGTACTTTGACTTCTTCGAACAACTACTAGTCTGTTTCAATGTTGCGATGAGCAGATCAGGTTCATGGCTAGAGGGTTCTTTCAGACTCTTCTCCAAGTCCAAAGGTCCTGGCCAAAGGTGTTCTCCTGAAACCATCGAGCTCGGAGTGTTTAGGGAATGCTCGGGTATGTCTGGAACAAAAGTCACTGAAGTCATCTATAAATCTGTAGATTTGAACGTTTCTGACTGGTCAGGGAGTTTAAAACAGAAAATGTAAATCTGTGTTCCTCACAGGCAGCGAGTCAACAAACAGCAGCCAAACGCTGGAAGAAGTGCCCATCAGAAGGAAGAGCAGCTCGTTGCAGAGACACGACTGGTCAGCTGCCACAGTCAAAGTCCTCTCCTCGATGCCTAGTCGTAAAGCCGGTGGGTTTACAGCATTTTCTTTTGACTGCCTGCACATATGAGCTATAGTGTTTCCCTCGTGCACACAGGGTTCCATAGCTCTGCACGTGTAAGAACCAGACGATCATCCCGGCTACAGCAACACCAGAACAAAATAAACGAATAAAAGATCAATAACTTGGTTCTTCTAAAGTACGACTTTTATCAACGAGAGCGATTCTGTGTTGACAGCGTCCACAGACTCGGCGGATAATGTGCTCGGTTCTGGCTTTTGCGGTGATGAAGACGGTAAGGATCCGTTGGTGTCAAGCCTGCAGGGCCTCTCTGTCAGTGACGGCCTGCGGAAGCTGCGAGGCACGCCGCTTCGCCTGGCAGACAAGAAGGAGATCAGGTGGCCTATCTGAGGGACACGTCCTGTTCGAACTGGAGAATCACATTAACTGCAAACATACAGTGACTATTGAGAGCTGAGTTATTTTACTGTTGAATGAATAAACTGACTTGTTAACGTTAAAACAAGCAGAGCACGAGCTAAAATCAGCTAAACAGTTGCCAAAAAGAGCAAAGTAGCACCTAAAAGCTCAAATGAGCGAAACAGAAAGTATATGCTAAAGATTGGCAAGAACATTGCTGAAAGATAAAATTAGCAAAGCTGTGGCTAAAACATAAATGTAACAAAACTGTAACAAAATGCTAAAATAAACTAAATGTAGCTAAGAGCTAAAACTAGAAGCTGGAAGTTAAAAGTCGTAGCCTATAGAAGCACTAAAATAGTAAAGTCAAGTCAAATTTATTTATTTATCCCATTTAAAACAGGAACTGTTACCAAAGTGCTTAAAGTAGAGTGTAAGTATGCTGATGTGGATTTCAGAAAATGCTTTTGGGGTACCACGTTACAATAGGGCTCCTCAGGCTCCCCTTATAGATGGCTAACAAATAGTTTATAGATACATTATTAATTCCTCTACAAACACTTTATAAATCATTAATAACTTCTTATTATGCTTTAATTACGGGTGACAGAGAGACTTATTTAAACATGTAAACTATTGTAAACCTATTTCTTTAGCATATAATATTGTACTTTATCACTGCATCATAAATATCTACAAATAATATTATATCCTAAAAAAAAATGTTGTTTACAAATGCTTATTGTGTTCACAAGGTAGTAACTTAATATGAAATGTTTATTATAACAACTCTAGATGAAATATATAGGTGGCAGATTTGGCAAGAAACTGGTCAGTTTTGTCTATGTCACCCTTAATTAATGTATAATAAACAATTATTAATGATTAACAAAGTGCTTATAGAGGAATTAATAACGTATCTATAAACTATTTATTAGCATTTATAATAGGAGCCTTATTGTAAAGTGGAAGCTGTTGTTGAAGAGACTAAAGAGATCTCAATGTGTTTATATGGGCAATTTTTGTAATTAATAAGGTTTAAATAGCTGAAAGTATAAAAGTTATTAATATAAAAAGTCATATCCCGCTGTTCTAGTTTGGCCAAACGGTTTGATATGCAGCTGTTCAAAATAAACTGTGCAGAAGTTTGCAAGCAAGATATAAAACAAATATCTCTTACATGTTCTCCTCAAGACGAGAGGCTTTCAGTCCTGCAGCTGAACGGAAACTGATCAGGCGCAGCATCCCGTTCTGCAGCCGTGCATGTGTGTGCATCTCAAAGGTGAGTTTAACAGTGTTCTACTTCATGAAGTTTTTATTTTTATTTTTAATTTGCTGACACAGTCGCACTTGTTCCTTTCAGGCGTGGCGTCAGTGTGCGTTCAGCAGCCTCTCCCTCAAGCTGTGGCAGTCGCCCCTGAAAAGGCTGAGCGAGCGTTATGGGTCCGGAGTGCTCTCCTACTTCCTTTTCCTCCGAACACTCCTGTTCCTTAACCTCCTTCTTTTTGTCATCACCGGCCTTTTCCTGGTCAGTCCTCAAGCCTTCCACCCTCCTCCTCATAACTCACAGCCCAGTTCATTCTCTGGCCTCGACCTTCTCACCGGCACGGTGAGGCAGCGGTTCATCACATATTCATGTTTATTTTACTTCACTAATATGAACTGTGGATTTTCTTCAACATGTACAGGGTTACCTTTCTCAGAGCTTGATGTTTTACGGTTACTACTCGCACGTCACCATTAAAACCTGCATCGACCTGCGTTCCTGCAGCACAGATGAGTCGCACACGATGCTTTACAGCATCCCAGCAGCGTATTTCCTCACTATTGCCGTTGCCTTCTTCATTATCTGCATCATCCTGGTGTACAGGTTGGAGGAGAATACTGCCATCTTCATATTCTACAACCACAATTCCCAGAAAATTGGGGCGTAAAAAAATCAGAAAGCAATAATTTACAAATCTCATAAACCCTTACTTTATTCACAGTGGAGCACAGTGAACATGTAAATGGTTTAAATTAAGAAATTGGACACTTTTTAGGGGAAAAGAAGGTCATTTAGAATTTGGCTGCAGTGACAAATCTAAAGCAAAGGTTGTCACAGGTAGGTGGAGAATTCCCTCTTCTTTTAAAAACGGTCTGTGGACATCTAGGATCAGAGGAGATGAAGCTGAAAGTATTTTTGGAGAAAAATGTCCCTTTTTTTTTCTTATTCCAGCTGTTCAGCATTGAAGGTGCCTTTCCAGTTGAGTAAGCCGCCCATGCCAGAGGCAGTAATGCACCCCCATACCATCAGAGAAGGAATTGTGTTCTGATAACGGTCTGGATGGACTCATCTCATGGAGGATGGGTCATCTGCAGTTTCTAAAAATCTCTTCAGAATTTAATTTAATGACAGAATCGTTTTCTAATTTGCCTCAGTCCCTTTTAAATGAGCTCTGGCTCAGAGAAGTCGTCGGCCTTTCTGGATGGTGTTGCTGCCATCACATTCAAAATGATCTTGTTGGTTTACATGGTACAAGTACCGTATTTTTTTGGACTATAAGGCGCATTAAGCGAAACAAAAAACATTTAACAGATTTTTGAGTGCTGTGTACTATATACACTCTGTTCGAGGTCAGTAAGCACAACCAGAATTAATACATAAGGCTCACTGTTGATTTGTGGGACAATTAAAGGATTGTAAATGCGCCTTATACTCTGAAAAATACGGTACTTTTAAGATTTTCTGATATGTTTTATTACTACAAATGAAATATATGTTTATGAGATTTGTAAATCATTGCAGTCTATTTTTATTTATATTTGTAACAACCTCAGAATTGGGTTCATCCATCAGTTCGGCCTGTCTCATGGTTCTTCTCTCCTGCAGCTTGTCGAGGTCCTTCGGGAAAAGTTTCCATGTCCTTAAGTCCAACATGAATTTGTCTGAAAAGGTTTTCTGCTCGTGGGATTTCAAAGTCAGCAAGAAGTCAGCTGTCAGACTCCAGTCAGAGAAAATCAGCATCCAGCTCAAAGTACGTGATCCTTTTAATCGTTAGTTAAAATCACGTTTAATTTCTCAAACTGGTGTCAGACTCATTTTGTGTGAAGCTGATTCTCACACAGCAAACATTTTAAATGTGCATTTTCACACCAAATGTGCATCAAGTCTTTTTATTAAAGGAACGCGGTGCTGCACAGAGGGTCAAAATGCACCCAGTGAGCAGTTTGTTTGAGTTTTAACCGTTCACCGGTGGTTTTTCGAACAGGAGCAGCTGTCGGAGTTGATCAGCGGAGAAGAACAGAAGAGCTGCATGCATCGATTCTACTGCCTCATCATCCGTGTTATTGCATGGGTCATATGTCTGACGAGCATCTTCCTCAGCACCATGGTTGTCTACTTCTTGTCTGAGGTTAGAGGAAGCTTTCAGCACCTGCCATACAACTAAACATAAAAGATGCAACACATATTTAAAAACTATTTCTAGTCTGTATGTAAATTATGACCTTCCTGCCCATCATTAACTTCTGCTTTTTTCTTTCCTCCTAAATGACTAACACTTTTTTTCTGCTGTTGTTTCAAGACCTTAAACGTCACGCACAAACACACAGAATAAACGTCTCTCGTGACAAACAGACATTTAAATATAAACCTATGTTTTATTTCTTCTTGAGTTCATTGTTCTCACTTACGCGGGGTATAAAGTGCTGCTTCCACTCTGAGCACACGTGTTTTACCTCCTTGAAGACGTTGATTGAAGAGTTTGTTTCTAATAAACCTAAAGGTTTAATCACGTTTCTAATGTTGCAGCAAACAATATGAGCAGTTTAGTGCTGAAACACAAAGCGTTCAAACGTGGTTCAGATAGTGACACGGTTGTTTTTAGTGTTTTTTTTGTCTCCTGCTTATAGAGACACGCTCCGTTTCTCCACAGTACTCAGAGAAGCAGGGTCTCCAAGATGTCGGACTGTTGCTCATGTCTGCGGTGGTCTCTGGCTTCAACCTGTTACTTCCTGGCATTTTCAACTTGTCTGCTTGGATGGAGAATTTTACCTCACCTGGTACATGTGTGTATGTCTCCATCTTCAGGTGAGAGCACATATTAAATATTATTTGAACTGCTTGTCATAGGTGGTGCTGAATTCAACTGAGGGAAGTCAAACTTGTTAAAACATGAAATTAAACTATTACATATTCACATTTATGAATATTTAGTGAGCAGTTCTCCTAAAAACAGGAAAACGTCCGCATTGGTTTTTGCCATGATGAACTTAACAGATGTTTGAAGCCACTTAGAGAGGTCAAGGTCGAGAGCTTCAGATCTTTTTGCAAGATATTCCAGGAAACAGGGGTGGAGTAGGAGAAGGCCCCTTTGCCTAATTCAGTCCTCACCGAGGGAACACTGCATGTAATAATGTCCTGAGAGCGCACGCTGTAGCTGCACTCACGCAGTGACATATAGGAGGAGATGTATGAAGGCAGCAGACCAAGAAGTGATTTAGAGATGAAAATGTACCAGTGAGAGAGTCTACGTGAAGTTAATGATGACCAGTTAACCAGTTAATGTTCTAGTGAAGGTTCTAGAATTGCGCCGCTCAAGGTGGCTGCATGTTGGAGCAGCTCTGTTACTTTCATTCTGAGATTTTGCTTTTGGAAACTTTAATTCCTCTATTTCTGGATGTAAATCACATTTCTGTGGATGATTGTTTCCTCTGGTATCGGATGCTGAGCAGCTGGAAGGATTTTTACTGAAACTGTTTTAGTTTTGGACATTTGTTATAATGCATACCCATGGCAACACGTCCGTCTTCTAAAACCAACAGCAGCTGATTAACATCTTAACGGCTCACATAATATCTCAACTACAGCTCCAAATCTCAAATGAGTTGAAAAGGATGTTCTGTGGATGCACTCTCATCTACCTGCCAGCTGTTCTCAAGTGCCTGACCACTGAGATCCTGGAACTAGCAGGAAACACAGCTCATGACAGCGGAAGGACAGGATCGTCCCTCAGCACCTACAGTTGGCTGTTCGCAGCGACGAGGAGCTCAGCAGACTGCTGGGAGGAGTGGCCATCGCTCTGGGAGGAGTTCTGCCCGGCATTCAGGTGATCCTACAGTCTGGGGGAACCGAGAGGCCAGCCGAGTCTGGGTGGACGGATCGGACGGCATCTGTAGCCAGTTTCTTAGGATCCACTGTGGGATGGACCTTTACAAGAGATCCTTCCTGCCTACAGCCATCAGTATCTATAACATCTCTTAATGAAATGAGAATAACGAGTTACAACAACAAATAATTTCCCTTTGGGATTAATAAAGTATTTTTGAATTGAATTGAATACAGGGTGCAATGGTGGGTTACAGCCAGTTATGAATCTTAACACACCGTGATAGACAGCGTCCAACATCTGCAGGATGCTTGTAGAGGCGTTCATGTGAATAATGTCACCGTAGTCAATGGAGGGAAGGAAAGTCACAGTCTCAAGGTGTTTCCTAGCATTCAGAGTTAGACATGATCTATTTCTGAAAAAGAAACCCAGTTTAACTTTCAGTTTCTTTACTAAGTTTTCCGCGTGGGGCTTCAAAGAGAGATGCGAAATGATCAAGATATCCAAATATAGGAATCGACAAACTCAATGGGAGCACCATTTGAGGATAAAATCGAAGGAAGAGCTGCTGGGACCGACTTCCTGTTTGGAAACAATATCCATTTGGTTTTATCGGCATTTAGGACAAGTTTGAGACAGAATAAATCTGACTGGATGATGTCGAAGGCGGATTGCAAAACCTGCAAAACCTTAGCAACTATTTTATCTCAACAATAAACTACTGTATATTCAACATAGAAATGTAAGGATGAACCAGGGATGCTCTGACCTACATTAGCTATGTAGACTAGGGTGGGTCCTAAGACTGAGCCTTGTGGTACACCATTGTTGACCGTTAAATAACTGGAGGAAGTACCATTATGTTGAAAACATTGCCTCTGGTCTGGGAGCGAGACGGAAGTCAAACTTGTTAAAACATTAAATTAAACTATTTACAGGTTCACATTTATGAACATTTAGTGAGCATGTTATGCATGTGTGAATGTTGTCTTTAACTAGAACACATGAGTGTGCTGCTTGTAGATCTCAGTTTGTTGTGGCTCCTTGGACTGATGAAGTCCTTTGGATGAAGGACGAAATGCCTCAACAAAAAATGAAAAAGAAACTGTCCAGATGACCTGACTAAACGTTGTTGGAGATTTTACGTGGATTACTGAGCATGTTGTTTATCTAGAACAGTTTTCATTTTCTGTACAAAATAATAATTGAAAAACAGCATTAATGTTGAGCTCTGAATGACTTTGCTGAAGATTGTTTAAAAAAAAAAGAAGCTGAAACTGAATTGTCAGTTAAAGCAATAAGAATAAATACTTCAATTGTTTAAAAAAAGCTAAAGTTAAAACAAAAATCAAATGCTAAAATTAACAAAACCTGGAATTAACTAAACAGTTGCTAAAAGCTGCTTCTTCTTTCGGCTGTTTCACCTTCAGGGGTCGCCACAACGAGTCATTGTCCGTCTCCTCTCCATCTCTGCACTCAACTACCAGCTAAAGGCTAAAGTCTGTAGCAAAGTTAAAATCAGCAGAACAGCTGCTGAAAGCTAAAAAAGAAAAAACACTTTCAAGGATTTAGAAAAATGGCAATGCATTTTTCTAAGATAAACATAGTAAATTAAGTTAATAACTCAACAAATATAAATAATAAGTACGCGTAATAATAACTGAGCTGAATATCTTGATACCTGACTGATTGAAATAGGTGATGTCGTTCTGAAGTAGTTGAAAGTATTAAAAAACTATCAACAGGGAGGCATTAGTAGGAGTGATTACTCAGCATTCAGTTTAATTTTTACAGTAACTTTAAACAAATCAGAGCCAGTGCTGTGTTTTAGTCTAATTTAACCAAATACGAATGGACAGTTGTCAAACAAGCATATCTCCTTTTCAGTGTCTTTTATATTTGTAGCGACTCTTCACTAAATTAAAGCCGTTGTTTATTTTCTCCCTGATTTCTCAGGAACTTGTTATCAAAGATCAGCATTGTGGGGGTTTTGTGTTACTACTGGCAGGACAAAGTTGCGGTGGAACCAGAAAGTCGACCTTTGCAGGTTACAACCATCCTCATTCTTAAATGATGTTGTAGTTATGAAACTATAGATATCTGTTAAAGCACGTGCTTCTGTCAAACTCAGACTTCATTAGCGTCTTTATGTGTTTTACTGTGTGAACTTCTTCAAATTAAAGTTTATTCAATGTCTGTCTTTAGTGCTGGGAGAATTTTGTGGGGCAAGAACTTTATCGTCTGCTCCTGATGGACTTCATTTTCACGATGATTTACACCATTTTGGGGGAATTTCTCTGGAGGTAAATGCGTGCTTTACCATTTTGGTAATTTGACACAAATTGTCCTCCTGACAGTGACCTGCCATCTTTCCTCCAGGCTGTTCTCTAAGAAAATCCTATTGAGGAACAGGAAACCAGTGTTTGACATTGCTCGAAACGTGCTGGAGCTCATTTATGGACAAACTCTAACTTGGTAAACATCCAGCCCTCCCTCCCTCCCTTTAAGATCTGTCACATATTTTAAAAATTGTAGATTTAGTTGCATTTCCTTGTTACCAGGCTTGGTATGCTGTTTGCGCCGCTGCTCCCTGCGGTCCAAATTGTAAAGCTGATTGTGTTGTTTTACATGAAGAAGGTTGGTACAGTACATGTCACTGATAAACCATGTTCAAATAAGATGACACACATTCTTCTGTCATTTTTCCCGCACTTAGAGCAGTCTGATCGTCAACTGTCAGGTCTCCAAAAAGCCCTGGAGGGCCACTCAGATGACAACATTGTTCATTACACTTTTATGCTTCCCCTCATTTCTTGGAGCAACCGTGGCAGTTGGGTATACCGTTTGGATGTGAGTGCAGTCATTTTCCTCTTCTTGACTGTTTAGTAATCACCAGTACTTTCATTGGAACAGCTTCAAATGGAGAAACACTGTTGGAGTCGATAGTTGCTCCAAATTTCATTAGAAGATGAACAAAACTTAGTATTCATTATTTCCTTGACCTGTCCTTCAAACTTGTGTCCATTTCCTGACTGATCAAGTGTAGAAATAAAAAGTCTGTTATAAATGAGTCAATTCGAGTTTAGAAAATGAACCAATTCTATATGAAATGATAACTGGATACCGTGCAGGGTGTTGAAATGAGAGTATGAAGGAAGGAATTGAAGAAAATCTGTTTTTATATTAGCACCTGAATAATTTGCTCTGAAAAGTTTCTCTAAGAAATTTAAAATATTTTGCTCTGACTGTATAAGATTAAATTGATTGTATTTTGCAGCTTAACTAACCAATTCCTTGGGTTGATGTTATTTTACGAATTATATTTAGTAAGAAATCAAATTTTTGTTCACTACTTTTAGAGATAACATAATATATATAAAAAAAATGAAGAGAAACAATGTTTCAGTGAATGGAAACTTCAATAGATTTTATAATATGGAAAAATATAACAAACATTTTCCAATATATGTTCCAGTATTTTTGTACGTTTCTGCTAAAGAAAGGAGCTCAACTATAGTAGTCCCTCAAAACTTTGCATTTCGATTTTTGCGGACTCACTCTTTTGTGGGTTTTCAAAATAAGACTGTACACAGCACACGATTGGCGATGGGAAAAGACAGACCCATCCCGCCCCTCCTTTCTCTTTATGAGGCTGTCTGTCACAGCAGAGGCGAATAGAAAAGACAGACCCATCCCTGTCCCCTCCTTTCTCTTTCTGAGGCTGTCTGTCACAGCAGAGACAATGTGGAAAGACAGACCCCACCCTCTCCTTTCTCTTTCTCTGCTGTGACAGACGGCCTCAGAAAGAGAAAGGAGGGGGCAGGGTGGGGTCTGTCTTTCCACATCACTACTACTCAGGGAGCAGGGGTGAACAGATCAGATGAACGAATGTAGAATGTTGGAGAAAATGCTTAGGTGGAAAAATAAGAGTGAATCAGTTTTAAGAGAGAGAGAAAGGCTGAGTGTGGCTCACTCTGGTATAAGACAGAACCCCCCCCCCCCCCCCCCCCCCCCCCCCCCCCCCTTCTTTTCTGCTCCCTGTCCCTCCCCCCAACAAAAAAAAAGAGGGGGGGGGGGGGGGGGGGGGGGGCTTTCCCCCCCCGGCCCCCCACCAACCACACAG